AAAATGGATGTTATATTCGTTATCAGGACCTCAAATAACCCCTAAACGCAAGTTTTCAGCAAATTTGGTGAAAACACCCTTGGCGCCAAATGGCGCCAGCGCCAAAAGTGAAGGTCATATTCCTTATCAGTGCATCGGATTACCCCTATAGGCGAAGTTTCATCGAAAATTAAAATTTTGAGTTTTTGGGGTTGTAATAGTGGAATAGTACCAAAATAGCTCCATAGGAAACTCTCGCATGAGATTAGTTTTGTTTAGGCAGTGAATGGCTTTTCTCTGGAATACCATCAACCTTACAATCGTGAACTGTTTACTTTCCACACCAATGTATTGCGGTGACCTCGAGGCAGAGCATAGACCAGAATGAAGTGAAGTATGAATGATATCTATATCTGATGGAAAGTCCCAATGCAAATCGCCGTGATCGGTTCTTCTAAACGCAGGGAAAGGTGACCTAATGAAAAGAAAGCATTACGCATTATCCCCGATCACTGGAAAGGTAATACATTTCTAACCTCTCGTAACATTAAAGATAAAAGCTTCGGGCATTGGTCAATCCCTTCTGAGTAATGCGCCCCACATTCGACTTCCATTCAAAATCGTAATGGTATTGAATGCGTATGAGGCCTATGTAATGAATTGCGGTGGCTAACTGATGCACAAGTCAGTACTTTTATCATCCCAAACAAATCTGGTATCAAACAACCGACCCTGTAGGGATGCTAGGCTTGGTTGGCTCGAGCGGATATCGATCCGGGATTCGAACCCGTGATCATGCGTGAGTGAGGTGCGCCACATGTCACTACACCACCTCAGATGGGAGTGAACTCAGTAACCTTTGTGGCCAATTTCAACAAGGTGGTCGAATGCCATCCGTGCCGCTATCTGTCACCGTTATTGTAGAAAAGTGCAGGGATGTCGATTTCCACGCTATGTATGAGTAGGGTACTGTAGAAACGCTCAAATGGCATACAAAACAAACAAACAATGCAAACGGAAAAAAGATTCCAGGAAACCAATTTTTTGAGGTCTAAAGCAAGCAGAACGTGCAGAACTTCAAAGCTTAGTTGCACTCGAGGAGTGGTTCGTAGTTCGGCCAACCTCATACCGCTCGATATTCCTAAATAGAGCACCCTCAGATCCAAACATGGGCCAAACCTCGTCGCATTCCGATTACTTGAAGGTAAACCTGCAAAAAGCTCGCAGCAAGTTGGACGCTATCTACCCCCTCGTCACGGTCGACGCGTTTCTCGTTGTTCCTGAAGCCTCTTTCAAACTGGACGGAAACTTCTCCATATTCAGTTTTTTCCCGGGGAGTAAAACAAAACAGGTTCTTCTTTGTCCCGAGCACTAATCAAGTTTTTCCGCGGCATTTATCTTGTTTCTGTAATTTTGCTTCACTCTGTGGGAATTTTTAATTAACTAAATTAGGAATTAATTTGATGTTTCTTCTGTATTCTTATTCGTAATCGTCAAAATGTTGACAATCTAACGTTTGGAACATTGATAAACTTTCCAGCAAATCCCCAATTTCAATTTCTCTCCCCATTGGGTATTTTAGTTTGTAAGGGTTCGCAGATCCCCATTGAATTTCAATTTATCATTGCATCCCCTCGAGTATCAATCTGGGGTGCTCATGTCACTTTAGTTTAAAGGACACCATAAATAATGTCGGTCGCTTTGGAAAGCTCTCAAATGGGGCCAGCTATTTTCATCGCCGGGCACGTCGATGTTTGCTGCTTGCAGCACAAAAATCACTGAAACTGGCCCTGACTTAGTAACGGAGAGTAAGGAGTATTCATGCCAAAAGTCCCTTGGAGAGTTTAGGGAAGAAGGATCAACTAGAGGCCGCTGTTCAAAAGATTTGAGACCAGGCATGTTATATCTTCACTTCATCGATAACCGTAGTGAACAACTACATCAAATCAGTCTGGCCCTAGTTGGTAAACCTTTACTGGATAGGGGTCAAGTGCCTTACGGCTTTAGCGATTTCGTTTCTGTTATCCTACGCTTCGATCTACGTACAGCGACGACCCACATTCGCCAACTATCTCTTCATCTTCGTCGTTGTCTGCAGGGCAGTAATTTTCTTCGCTTCTTCGCCAGCTTCCACCCCAGGTCATGGCTTATTTGTCCATCAGCCATTTTCTACCGGTGAATGAACGTCAGAAGAAACGCAAAAAGCTAGTACGTCAACAGTCGCAGGACCTCTCCAATGATATCATCTGAAGTTATCGGTTGTTTTTTTACAGCAACTGCAAACCTACCAGGATCCCAAATGTTCGGTCCCATGCATGAGTACTTTTCGTGGTGGCGAGAATTCGCCTTACTTGGGGTTCGTTCTTTTGTCGATCATGCATCTGTTTGGACCGCTAATGACTTTGGTTGGCTCTCCAGGGAATCTTCAATTTTCTCTTTTTCACAAGTTGAAAAGTCATGGCAACGTCGTATGCAACAATGAAATCCACTTTAAGTATAGCAAGTGTAAAGCTTTTCCCAAGTATACAAAATTTTCCCACATCAGAGATACCCGTAGCCTTGGAGGATGTCTATGGGCTCCTTTAGAAGGGGAATGGAAGCCGGCTAAACATATCCCACAAGGGTACGGCCATCTCGAATGTCGAGCTGTCCTATTGCAATTCAGCCAGTTGTCCTATTGCAATTCTGCCAGCTGCGCACGTACTCTAGCGGAATTGGGTTTCTGGTAAGCTGCTTGGAGGACCTTGATTTCCACCGAAGGTTTACTGACCTTTCAACGTAGAACTGGATTTGCAATAAAATTCGAGTTTCCTTATGTGCTCACTCTCTGATGAGACGTTATCGTTATTGACTAAGATTGTTCTATCTGCAGTTGGTTGCTCAATGCTCCGATTGAGGAATTGCTCCAAAAGAAAGACGCCATGTTGGAGCAGGCCAACAAGACAAAGAAGGCAAGCAATAAGATCGTGAGTTATTTGGACATCTGCTGCCTCTGTTTTTGTACACTCTGTTCTAAAAGGGTCCTAATTACAGAAGGGAACACTGCCGGTAGACTTAGCCACTAATGAAATCCATAAATCTCACTTTAGGACTAAAGTCTTTTGTTCTCAAAAATGAAAGGGTCCCGCTAAGATGGAACAGATCGGAAGGAGTAGAAGTGGACCGCTTGGGAGGAATCAGTAGCAAGCAGGACAAGAAAGATGCGTGAAATAGGTAACACAAAGGAAGTTTCAGGAAGATCATCATCGTGGAAACTGTGGTATGGAGGGATGGATATAATCAGTTTGAAGATGATTTAGAAAGGAAGATGGATCTGTTGTCCGTGAAAGGATAGGAGTGGGATACATGTCCAACATTTCCCAGCGTTTCACGA